GGATTCAAGCACCAGCCAAGGAGGGCCTAAATTAGGCGCCTAAATCAACTCACAAAGGAGCCAACTTAGCGCCCAAGTCAGCTCAAGGAGGGGCGGCCAAGACATAGGAGAAGGATTCAAAGTTCCTTATTTTGTTTCCTAGTTTGTTAGGACATATTTGATGCTTTCCTAGGTAGTTAAGGTTTTGTTTTTCTTTTCCTAAGATTATTGGAATTACTTTCCAAGATTGACTTGGTGTTTGTTTCCTAGAGTTTTACCTTTTCCTATGGTAGTTGGACTTGTTGTCCAAAGTAGTTTAGGACTTTATTTTCTTATTTTTTTAGGTAGAATTTCGTGACCCCTTCCCTATATAAAGGGGTATCTTCGTTGCTTTTAGATTCAGACTATTATCAATAAAAATTGTGAGAATTTTCTTGCACTCTTGTGTATGGCTACTCTTGGATTTATTCTTCAACCTTCAAGACTCAAGTTAAGGTGGTAAGATTAAACTCTTTTGAAATCTTAGATTGCTTCTAGGTATTCATGAAAGGTGATAAGTTTAGGCTTATTGTTGTTCTTGTTATTCTAAAGGGTAGGGTTTCACAATCTATCTCTTGTTTTTAATTCTCTACCAAAGGCGATTAGTTCTTTGTTAGCTAATTGTTGTTGTTAGGATTCAACTTCAAGAATAGACTTCTTGAATTCAAGAAACTCTTTCTTGAATTCAATCTATCTTTAATTTTCCGTCCTTTTTCGTTTCTTTATTTTCTTTTAGCTTCCGCACGTTTCTTGATTTTCTTGTTTTTCTTTAGTAATTCTTGAATCCCCTATCGTGTTGTTATCACTTAGCTTGTGCATGACCATCACTAGTGGGATACCTATCATATCCGAGTGCGACCATGAAAAACAATCAACGTTAGCTTTAAGGAAATTAATAAGTCCCGACTTGAGTTCGGGATTGAGTCATGTTCCCAAGTGAACTTCCTCTCCAAGAATTCTTTGAAAAGAGCCACTTGGTGGAGTTCTTATGCCGTGGATTTGGTCACGTATGTCTCTTCCAGTACCTGAAAGTATCTCGGTACCTGGTAGGATTCTGACAACTCCTCGCCTTTATCATCATCACTCGGCTCGGGAGCAGGCGTGATTTCTGTAATTGCTATTTGCTGGGTTCCTTCCCTTTACTTCTAGAAATTGACAAGGCGTTCATTTGTCTTGCTGTTGGTTGATCTCTTCTTATTTGCTTGATTCCCTCTGGGGTCGGGAATTTTAGTAGTTGGTTATACGTTGATGGTACGGCCTTCATCTCGTGTAATCAAGGCCTACCGAGAATTATGTTATAGCCCATGTTGTCGTCTACTACTTTAAATAAGGTGGTCTTAGTTACCTCTTCAATGTTCGTTGGCAGCAGGATCTCTCCTCGGGTTGTCGCACTTGCCAAGTTGAACCCGGCGAGGAGCTTTGTTGCCAGAATGATGCTTCCGGTTAATTTGACTTGTTCCAGCACTCTCCATTGAATGATGTTGGTTGTGCTTCTTGGGTCAGCCATAATACACTTAATCTTGAAATCTAAAACATTAAGAGAGATTACTAGGGCATTGTTATGCAGCAGAAGAAGTCCGTCGGCATCTTCCTCTGTGAAGGTGATGTCATCTTCAGAGACTTACCGGAGTCTCTTGCTGTAGGTCACCGATACCTTTATTTTCTTGGCCGTTGAGAAGGTTAACCCATTGATTTCATTCCCTCCACAAATCATATTGATTTTTAACCGAGGAGGGTCTTCTCCTATCATCGAGGGTTCCGCGTTGTCTCGGATGTGACCGTAATTGTTCTTGGCCCAGTCACTTAACTCCCTAAGATGTCCATTTTTCAACAGCGATGCCACCTCCTCGCACAGATGTCGGCAGTCCCTAGTTCAGTGTCCGTGATTCCCATGATATTCACACCATAAGTTAGGATCCATCTGGCTAGGATTGTCTGATTAGCTTTAGGAACTGTGCCTCTTTGATTTTCCTCATTGCCGATACCATATCTACTACGCTGATGCTGAAATTATAATCTGACAGCCTGGGATATGAGGTATCTCGGGCCCCCGATACTTCTTTTTCCTATAGCAACATGTTGTTCCAACCACGGTCTATCCTTCTGTCGGGCACGAGCCTATCTTAGTACCAGAACCCTTATCTGTTGCATCTTCGGCTCTCTCATACGGCCCGAAGCAGCCTTTAGAAGATTGCCAATCTGTATCAAAATTGCCTTTGAATTTATCCTGGTTCTTGTCTCGGTCCCGTCCCTTGGATGATGTCGAGAACCCGAGCTGGTCATCTTCTATCCTTAGTTTCGACTCATACCGATTATGAACATACGCCCAAGTAGTAGCTTGGAACTCGAGCAGGTTTTCCTTCAACTTTTGGGAGGCGTCGGAGCTCCTCGGGTTCAAAACCTTTGTGAATGCCTCTGCTGCCCACTCATCTGGTAAGGCCGGTAACAACATCCTTTCTTTCTGGAATCTGATCACAAATTCCCACAGTAATTCGGGCTCTCGTTGTGCGATTCTGAATATGTCCGCCTTCCTGGCCTTGAACTTTTTGGCCACGGCATGGACCTTAATGGACGAATCTACGAGCATTTAAAAAGAATCTATTGAGTGCTCGGGTAGGAGTGAATACCATGTCAAGGCCCCTTTCATGAGGGTTTCTCCAAACTTATTCAGTAGGACCGACTCAATCTCATATTAAGCCAAATCGTTCCCTTTCACTGCCATTGTACAAGCTGTGATGTGCTCCTGAGGATCCGGGGTTCCATCGTATTTCGGTATGTCCGGCATCTTGAACCGTTTCAGAATTAACTCCGGTGTTCTGCTTGGTTTGAACGACAACTAGGTGTACTTATTCGAATATGGGCCCTTCCAAATTGGCGGTGTTCCCAGAATCTAGTCCATTCGTGCGTGGAACTCTTTCGCATTCTGATCCATCCGCTCGTTCATCTCCCTCATGAATCTCATGAGTTTGGTTTTGAAGGGATCATTACCGTTGTCGTTACCGGATCTGCTATCGGTCCCTCCGGCACCGTCGAAATCGACCTCACCCTTCGGGGTTTTGTTATCAACTCTTGATTCGTCTTATTTGCAAGAACACCGGGAGGAACTGGGCCTCTTCCGTTTGCATTGTTGGAAGCACCTGACAACGCCTTCTTTAATTCCGTCATGACCTAATCTTGCCCTGAGAGATGGCCAATAATGGCTTTTTGTTGCTCTCTCAAAATCCTCACTGTTTTCGCATCGTGTTCGTCTTCTGCATCATCGGGAGTTGGCTCTCGCATATGTCGGGGGTACTGTTGGGCGTGGACCGGAGTTGCCATGTCCTCCTCGTTGCGGGTGTCACTGATTGAATCCTCATATTGAGGCAGATTTCATGTGCCTCAAACTTGTGTGCGATGTTGACATCGTTAGCTGTCATTTTTGATTTTTTGCTAAGAAACAAAGAATCAAACGAGTTAGTAATAAAAGCAAGGATCAACTCAATTACGCAACTGTCTAAGTCCTACGATGGGCGCCAAATTGTTTACCCTAAAATGCTACAACTAAATTTGTTACGTGGTTTATAGGCAAGCGAACTGATTTGATCCCAAAATCATAAATTAAATATACTAAAAATAGGATTTAGCATTAAAATCAAAGGAAATGGCTGGCATGCTTCCGGGAGCGATGGCTCCAAGGACAAAGATAGGAACAATGTATAAAAATAAGTAAAATTATCTTATTGAGCTTGAGAATAGAATGTAGCAGAAGTTATGCTAAGAATTTCGTATCTTTACAACGGTGTGGAAACTACTATTTATAGCTATACCTAGGAAAACAAGATCCTAGGATCAAGCCCCTCTTAAGTGACAATAAAGGGGCCATTGATGAATATGTAATGACAGGCCATAAATTCAAATATTCTCTGCAACGGTTCCCTATTTAATGCTAGGGAATATTTTTCATTGAATGGCATCCGGTGGCAAACATTGGACCCGTTTGCGTTGATTGTGCTCCCTTCGGGGTCCATCCGATGTCAACTGCAATTGTTGTTCCCGGTCTTGGTTCTTACTCAATTTATCTTCTGCCTGTCTCCAATTCCACATCAAGCTATCATTCGATCATTTAATATAAACCAATTTTACCCTATACAATTTCAAAACACAAGAATTGTCACACTCAAAATGCACAAAAAAGGAAATATTGCCAAACAAATAACTCAACATGGTGTATTACTTTGGAACGTAAGTGAAACCTTTGCCAACTAGCTTCAACAATAGAGTGATTTACTAACCAAAAATGTGACTTAGAAACTGACTGCACCCTCCTGCATGTCTGCCCCCAAAATAGAAAGGAGAAGAAAAATATATACATAATGTGAGTCATCCCTGTAGTGCATTTTCCAGACCATTGTGACCTTTATTTCTGCAATGGTTCTTACAATGTAGTGATCTTTAAGCAAAAGATTTCGTTATTCTCCACTCGAGAGAGACAGTAGTTTACGACACTGTATTCTCCACAGATCAATCATTTTTAGTCATAGACTCTCACTTGTAATTATTCTAACACTTAGTTTTTTTATTTTATTACTTATCATATATTTCCTCCATTGCAAAATAATGATGAATTTTAGAGCAAGAATGTTAAAATCACCTAATTCTTAATGTGAATTCGGATATGAATTTCTCTGATTTTAAAAATAAAATTTACACGTTTAGTAACAACAGAAACGAGTGATAATATCATATAAAATGAGGGCAGAGTCCTTAACAATAATAGTCGTAAACGGGTTCATACCTTGATTTTACAACTTTAATACAGATCAAATGTACCAAACAATACATTAAAGTTGCACCATGTGACAAATTGAGTATAACTTATGCAATATTAACTCGGGTAGGAATGTCACGCACACGAGTTGTGTGACCAAAATAGGTACTTGAATATATCGCTAAAACAACTTAATTACTCAAGGAGCAGAGCAAAGTACACCAGACAAAACATATCGACAGAAGAATTTCGTATATTAACATAATCAAAGTAGAATCACACACTGATGATTCAAAATTACAATGTAATAACACCAGAATGGCTGGAAATTATCAACATCTAAAGTTGCACTCAAAGCAGAGAGAAAAGAAACACAAAAGAAGAGCCACTCCCCCCACAACATCACTATAAAGAAAATGACACTACATTTAATCACTAGCACACAAAGTTTTGAATGTAGTAATGCATAAGGTTAGAAACATGTTGGTGAATGAGATGGAAAAAGACTCAATATACGATGCTCGGATTTTTCCATTCCTATGTAGTTGCAGCTCACCTTATTCAATATGCACTCCCATGAGAATAGTTTTTCAAAATGACAAGTCAAATAAACAGTCTAACTTCTTGATTCCGCTGTGCTATCTGAAGTACTTCCTTTCACTTCTCCAGCAGCACTAGGATACTTTATATCTCTACCTTTGGTGGACCAGAATGTCTCCTTGGTCCACCGCCAGGGGATGCCGAGAAAGACAACCGCTTCTTTGCAGAATTAACTGTTCCCTTCTCTGGTGTCCCGTTCTTTTCGAAACCCAAAGGACTTGGCAAGCGGGACCTGGCTCGTGCTGATTCTGTTGCTGCCATGTAACTTGGAACAGCTTGCGAGCTTGCCAAGCTTTCATCGTCTCTAATTGATGAACCAGCAATACTATGCCTCCTGCAGCGTTCTGACTGTGCACTCGCCATGCTTCTAGAGTCATCATCAACATTACTTCCCCTGGGGCTTGCTGGCCTTATTCTCCCTGTCTTTGATCGGGGCGTTGACGGTGATTGGCGGCTAGGAGGGCGGCTTTGCTTATGAGCGGTCGGAGAAGACCTATTGTCAACGTGGAAATCACGATGAGTGATAGCAGCCACAGCAGTGGGATGGCTTGCTGGGCTATCGACTTGGTCACAGTTAACTTCTTTATCGGTTGAACATTTATCTTCCCATGGCCGCGCAGCCATCCATCGCTCCAACCAACTCCAGCCCCAGTGGGGATTATTTGGGTCCATGAATGTTTGATCTGTAGATTTTGAAGGATTCCTCCGTGTTGGCTGTTGTAAAAGTTTACAATTCCATATTACGTTCTTCAATAATTTAAATCATGTAACAAGGGATTAACTACAAAGACACTCTAGTAATCTTTAGTATAAACAAGCAGGTGCACTCTAACTTGTTTTCAGTAAACAAAATGGCAGAACCCTCTCTGCCTTTAAAACACACAAAAGTATAAAGGGAAAAGAAAGAAATAAAAAAGGCAAAAGGGAAACAACAAACACGAGTGTTGCATGGTATTCCTTGAAGTAAAACATGAATTTTATTGTTGACTAGTTTTGGAGTTTAAAACTTTACAAATTAGATGGTTTTCCTTATCCATAAAAAATCAAATGAATGAACGTTTCACCGCAAACAAGTTGGAAACATCTGTATCTAATAATTTGACATAACGATGTCAGGACAAAACCAGAAGTAAAATATTTTCAACTCTGACACTAACCATTGACATTACATGTAAGGAAATAATAGATGGTAAAACTAAGTTCCAAGTTAGGTACATCATCTCATTAAACAAGACCACCAGTACTAGAACATAGTTCAACTGCTTTACTTCGATGAAATGAAATATCAAGGACGTGGAGAATTTGACAGGAATGAAGCTACAAATGAGATAACAAGCTCTTTGCAGATACCTTTCCTAGTTCCAAACCAAGCTTTGGTCTTATGATAAATATTATGGAATAAGTATGTAGCAATTCAGCATAACAAAAAAATATACCTGATGCGTGTATGCATAAGCCAAAGCCCTTTCCCTTCTCATGGCAGCCTCCTGCTTGCTGTGGAGGGTTGCTTCAACTTCTTCCTTTGATCGTGTGCTGTCATTCCAATCATCCCCAGACTGCTGTAAAATGTAATATTCAGCCAAAGGGAAGAAACCATGACCAAAGAGCACACATTTCTTTGCAGGCAAACTAAGATAAAAACCACCTTAAGTGTAAGGAAAAAAAATATATCCCCTCTGTCTCATTTTATGTGTCTCAGTTTGACTTGGCACGAAGTTTAAGAAAAGTAAGGAAGACTTTGGAATCTTGTAGTCTTAAACTAAAGATGTGTGTACTATACTAAAATGCCCTTGAATCTTGTGGTTTTGATTATGCAATGCGGAATGTTGGAGTTAAAGAATTACTAAATATAGAAAGAGTCATTCTTTTTTAAACGGATCAATAGCCCGTTTGGCCAAGCTGCAAAAATCAGCTTATTTTGAGAAGTGCTTTTTTTCAAAAGTGCTTTTCTCAAAAGTACTTTTGGTGAGAAGCAGTTTGTGTTTGGCTAATTAGTTTGAAAAGCACTTCTGAGCAGCAATTAGTGTTTGGCCAAGCTTTAAAAAACTGCTTGTAAGTGTATTTTTCTCAAGAGTGCTTCTCAAAAAAGTGCTTTTGGAGAGAAGCTACTTTTTTCTGCTTCTCCAAAACTGCTTCTGCTTCTCCTCAAAAACACTTTTTTTCCTTCCAAAAGCTTGGCCAAACACCTCAATTTTTGGCCAAAAGTGCTTTTGGCAAAAAAAAAAAAGCACTTTTGGCCAAAAAGAAGCTTGGCACATAAATTAAAACAGAGGGAGTATAAAAGAAGGGGATAACACAAAGCCGATCTCAAACTTTGAAGCTGATGATGCTGAAACATGATGTGGACAAAGGTACTTACAGAATATGCTTTCAGCTTCTCCTGCTCTTTCTCATGCTTCTGTTGGAGTTGTCTCTGGAGAGCCTGGTTATCCTCTGACATCCTAATTCTCCTGGCACGAACCTGAGATTGAACACGAGCTAGCGTCTGCATGCACCTTAAGGTGGACGTGGCTTGTCGCTTGACAGATTGCCCTTGAATCATTGTCTTCAACCTAACTAATCCTCTCAAAGCCCTCAATGCTCTCCTAGCCTGTTGTAAAATAGGAAAACCAAAGCAAATGAAAAACTTGAGAAACCAGCATACAATTCTTTAGTACAAACTTGAGATGGACTCTATACGAAGCATCTTAGATATTTCTGGACTACGCTAAAGCTAATCGCCTACTAAAAGCATGTTATTCAACCTCTTAGTAATTCTATGTACAAGATAAACAACAATTTTAAAAGTGGAAGGAAGATACGTAATGAAATAATCCACACAAGGGAAAGGAAGGAGGAAACCTTCAGTTGTTATACACAAATGGAACCAAGTTTAAACTACATAAGAAGTTAGGCAATCCTACCAAGTATCCTCGAAAAGCTGTTTGTATTCTTATAGCTGCAATCTCTTCCTTTGATTTACCCGAGTTACAGGCTGCAGCTGTTAGCCGAACGACCTCAGCAGCGGCATGAGCAGCCGCAACTGCTGCTTCTGCAGCAACAGCAGTGGCAATAGCTACCGAATAGGCATGCTTGTTCTGCTCATTCTCGGCTTCCATCAATTTCGTCTGCTCTACAGAAGGAGGGGGTGCAGGACTCGCTAATGCAGTTTCTGCATTCGAAGAATCCAATTCGCCACTCTGTTGCTTTCCGGACCATTTTTCAGATTTGTATTTTTTCTGGCACAAATAGCATTGCACAGTTACTTTAGAATATGAGATACCAAAAGGGGAAATAAGATGGCATTGAATTCATCCCTTACCTTGTCTTTCTTTTTGTTACCCGAACCAAGAGCCTTTCTCACTGCTGAAAACCAACTTCCTTTCTTCCCCATTTCAAAGCATCTTGCAGAAGAATAGAGGGGTATCAAATCAATTCCGGAGAAAAGACTGTTGATTTCTTATAATTTGAGAAAAAGAAAATTTTGGAAAACTGCTTTAACAAATATAGAAGCTTGCAACATTTGAGGGAAAACGCCAATAAGCAATCAAAACCAGAAGCACACTATAATTGAGGCAAATAAATTCAATGTGCTACTGCAGTTCACAAGTAATAAAAGCAAAAGGTGACAATTTCAGAGCAGTTTTCTCTTATAAGTACTTCAAAAAATTTACAATAACTGAAAACTAGAGTATGACAGCAGATAGAGATCTATAGTCTCAGTTTCTGTTCATGTTGAGAACACTGCTAGATCATCAATTAAAGAAACTTTAATGAAACCAATATTCCCTGCAAAAGCAGTAAATCATTTTTTGTAGCAATCCATACTTATAACAGCATTCAAATCTTTAGAGATATAAAGTCTTATGATATTTTAAAATAATTATAAAAACCCCATCCACAAGCATATAATTAACACAAAAGCCAGAAAGGTTACCAAAAGAATTAGAATCCAGCAACAATCAGTCAAAAGGAAACAGAAGAAATGACACAATTCAGCAGTAGAGAAAATTTCCGAAAAAGGAATTCAAGAAAGAAATGAAATTGAACCACATTCCTAATTAATTAACCACAGCATTGTGCATGACCTCTGCCTAAAAATGCAAGATCATAATTAAAATGAAAAGGAAAATTCACAAATTGTATATCAAATTGACAATTTCCAGGTATATGTCATAACAAAAACAAACAACCAAAACCAACAATGAAACATAAAACAACAAACAAAACAAAAGACAGCTTGTGTTTATTTGACATGTACCTAGAACTGAATCTTGATAAATACCAGAGCAAAGTTTTGTTCTTTCCCTGTTCCTTGTTATAACCCCCAAGTCCCCACCAGAAAAAAAAAAAGGCAAAACAAAATCAAGAAAACAATGGCCAACAACAATAATATGTATAGCAAACAAGAAACTTGTGAGCACGCTTTCAAGAATATGACTCAAAGGGAAAAAAAAAAATAGAGGTTTTCTTTTTTTTTTTTGGGGTAGGGGGGGGGGGGGGAGAGGACCTGGACAAGGAAAAGTTCAAAGGTTGAGGAAGTTGATGAGGACAAGAATAACGGAAAGGGTTAGTTTTGGTATTTTGACTTAAATTTTTTTGGAGGAATAAATGTTCTGTAGCAGAAGCAGAGGATGTGTTTGGGTGTGGGACCCAAAGACAGGCTTTGAAGTTAGGGCACAACGTGGATATATGTACTTTTCTCTTTTTGATTATGAAACTGAGAGTCTATTTCTTGTTTAACTGCAGACAACCAACCAACTTGCTTGTCTTTCAGTTATGGGTTTTTGCAAATTTTAACAGTCAAATTAATTGATTTATTTATTAGATAATTAATGAGACTTGGGAAAAAAACAAAACGTTTCGCTTTTCGAACTACTCGTACTTGTTTTATGTTCTTTCTTATCCACACAAAACTTTTGGTGTTTCATTTTTCGTAATAAAGCAAAACTCGGTATTTAAAAAAGACAAAATTACACAATAATGCAATTCATAAGTAGACCTTGCATTACTTTAGCCCAGTTACAAAGTTTGCAAATGTGTTGCCAAATATCAGTAAAAATTGCACGGGACGTCCTATTTGGTCGCCCCCATTTAACCTATACCCAAAATTTTTAAAAAGTTTTAACTTGTACCCATTTTTTAAACATCTTCAGCCCCCTTTCTCCTCCTCCTTCGTTTTCTTCTTCTTCTTCTTCTTTCTTCTGTTGTTGTTGGTGCTGCTATGAAACTTCAGTTCATGGAATGATTGCCATAAATATGTTTATCAGATTATTTAAAAACAAATTATAAATAATTACGTAAGTTAGTAGACAATAATTAGTGAATATTTCCACGTACGTAAGTTAGTAGACAATGATAATTCTATTCTTTTTACGTTTATTGTTTCCAAAATCTATGATAGATACTGTTGGCAATCTGATTATTTATCTAGTATGTTAGAAAGCTTTTTCAAAAATTTCAGCTCATATAGTGCTGAAGTTTTTACAAATGAACTAAATAACTTCAGCATCTTCTGCTGAAGTTTTCGGAATAGCTTTATGACAAAACTAATGAATCCAGGACAAAAAAAACTTCAGCTTTTAGTGCTGAAGTTTTTACAAATGAACTAAATAACTTCAGCATCTTCTGCTGAAGTTTTTGAAAAAACTTATCCAAGACAAAAAAACTTCAGCTTATTTAGTGCTGAAGTTTTTATAAATGAACTAAATAACTTCAGCATCTTCTGCTGAAGTTTTTGAAAAAGCTTAATGACAAAACTAATGAATCCAGGACAAAAAAACTTCAGCTTATTTAGTGCTGAAGTTTTTATAAATGAACT